GGACCATCACAACATCCGCCTGCATACGGGGAGGGCCAAGTGGACAGCATGTTGGTGTGGTGGTAGTGGTGTGTGTGGGGCGGGGGGGGGCTTGCGCTGACCGCGGCACAACCCAACAGTTTGGCATGGGGCGGCGGCAGGCACGGAAGGCAGCCAGGCAGTGCACCAGGGCCATGCCACTGGCGCGAAAGAGCATGCACACACTCCCACACCCTCACTCACTCAGCCCGCAAAAGAAGTCTGGGGAACCAAAGTCTGGTGAGCTGCAAGGAGCACAAGAACAAGGCAGAGAGCATGCAGTGGTGGTAGCGTGCGCGCTCGTCTACGTGCATGTGCGGCGGCTATATGCGGGCAGCACGATGCCGCTGCTTGCGTGCGTGCAGTGAAGGCCGCCACGTGGCCTCCTTGCACTCCTCCGCCCCTGCAGTTAGCCCCCCACCTGCCCCCCACACACAAGCCCCGCCCCTCACCCCTCATCTCCGAAGCAAACGCAAGTGCCATCCGGAACGAACGTCCAATGGGCCTGCTGCAGTTCGTCGCAGAAGGCGCAGCAGGCCTCGGGGCTGTTGCGCATCTCGAAAGCAGTTGGACTGCCCTGCCACGTGCACGGCTCGTATCCGCATTGACTGCGAGCATTCGGAGAGGCGTTGGCATGGAGCGCAGGCGGGGTCAAGCGGGATCATGACAGTTCACATGAGGCGTGCAGATGTGTGTGTGGCGGCGGCGGGAAGCATGTACTTCTGCCAACACGCGGGCTACCGCGGGCGGCGAGGCAGCGGCGGCAGGCGCACCCGGCGGCCGGGGGTGGCAGGCATGTGAGCAGGGAGGCAAGCAGGGCCAGGGTGCCGGTCAGGGCTGGGCGGTGTCTGTACATCCTCACAGGGGGCTGCAGAGAGGCAGCGCCGCGCCACAACAGCATCAGAAGCACAGCACACAGCAGGCACAGAAAATCCATTCATTCATTCAGCACACAGACCGGCCGCCTCTTGCTCGAGGGCGGCCCACTTTGGCCTGGGCAGCCCGGGCCGCCCTCCCCCCCGGGCGCATGTTCGGTGTTGGAGGGGTGTGCCCAGCGATAGGGGGCCCCTGAAGGCATGCGCCGAGGCCGGGAAGCGTGGTTCGGCGCTGCTGCACGCTTGGCGATTTGAACAGAACCACGTGCCGCCGAGCTGCGGCCGCAGTTTCCGGCCCACGGTCTACGGTCGCAGCCACGGGACTCGGCGGCACGGCGTTTGGGCCCAAGCTTGCTGCCGCCGCCCGGGGGGCAGCGCGGCGGCGGCGGGGGCACGCTGCGACGCCCCCGTGCTGCCGAGTTGCGGCCGTAGTTTCCTGCCAGAAGCCCACGGCCACAGCCACGGGACTCGGCGGCACGGCGTTTCGGTCCACGGCTTGCTGCCGCCGCCGTCGCAGG